ATCTACTGTGCCGACAGTGATTGGAAAGGGCATCCCAATTTAGCGTGAAAACAGCGCAACCTTTGATGTTTTAAGTACATTTACTCAACTGAAATCGCCCAGTGTCAAACTCAGTGTCAAAATGAAATTGTATTTAAAACGAACAAATGTACCCATTGTTTACCGTCGCCGAAATACCTTAGTTGTGCGTGCGACGTTAAATAAAGCAAATAACAACAACCCATTGTTTGTTAGTTTTTTGGTTTGATGGGGATTTTTTGTTCTTTTTAGGGGTATAATACATAACATAATAATTTTTCTAAATATACATAACATATATTATGCAAGCTTAATGATGTTTCATTTTTCGTGTTTTACCATATTTATTAGACATTACCTGAAATTGTGTCACTGCCATTACGAAATTTGTAACATCATTTTGAAAAGAAAACATCCAAAGATAATATTTATTTCATGTACATATATATTAAAATATCTGGTTTTACAATATAACATGGAGTTTTGAAATTGTATATTTATTGCTTATGAGAAAGACAAAAAAATTCAAATGCCACAACTGTGACATCAGTACGGAAGCGTAGTAGGGCCACGTACTAAGTCCTACGTAGGGAGATACTATTTTATTTCTCAGTCAGGGTTGGGGACTGTTAAGATGCAAGGGCGTAACTCTAGTCCCACTGAGTCATTAGTGGTGCAATAACTTTACCTTCGTTGGTATGTGTTGTCAATGTTGGAGGTAGATTGTAATTGACCATGTATGGGATTCAAAACGGGCGATAATTGCAGTATCGACCAGGTGTGTTCTATATTTAGCAACGATTACTACTGTGACAAATTCTGCTTGGGTTATAAACAGTGGAGCGACGTGGAGAAAATGTACTGTTTGAGGAAGTAAACAGTGGAAACTTGCAGGAATCTCGTCTTGAAGAAGAGTAGCATCGCTCAGCAGTCAGCCGAAGCCGAGACTAATAATAACCCACTAACGGCTCGCCAGGTAAGTCAGCGTTACGAACAGATCCTCGTAGGTTTCATTTAAAGATAAACCCCCAAACCAAAGTTGGACCCCGCTAAGAGCGACTTTCAGTGGAAAGCCAGTGTACAATTCGGTAGGGTTATTAAAGTAATAGTGTCGTGTGGATTCACCCAGACAGTTAAATATATTGTTAACGAATCGATATTCACTGGAAAATTGAAATGACATTCATAATATATTCTGTGCTGTGTACCAAACAGTACACGACTCACCATAGAACTATATTGCTACTACTATTCTATACTGTACCAAACAAACGACCCACCACAGAACTAATGAGGACTTGTTTGTTGTTCCGAATATTAGTGGTTCTTATACTGTCCACACACATTCACCGCTGAGGATTGCTTATAGCTACTTGACCTCTTCACCACAGTTAGCTGTCACAATAATGTAGTATAAGCATTATGATAATATTATAATGTTTACATTGCTTAACAAATGTATTCCTGTATACCTATATGTGTGTGTGTGTGTGTGTGTGTGTGTGTGTGTTTTGTTTTTTTTTTGGGGATAACGTAATGGCCTGGCATACAGTAGAAACCCTCTTATCTTATGGAGGCCTTGAGCCATATTATCAGTAACACAAACACACAATACACAAATAGAAATAAATTTACATTGCCTTCAATGTCCTTAGATATAGACCACAAGAAGTGTTATTATTTATGTTCAGCCACAAATCCTGTGAATCCATGTTGCCTGTGCAAATGAAATATGGGCAGTCCAAGTTTTTGGCAAATGGGAAAAATGTCAGTATTATGTGCAGCGTTGTTACAGTTAATCCTGATTATCACTGATTGATAGGTTTCAATTTCCATTGAAAGATTAATTAGGTGATTGATTGTCATAATTCATCACCATTTTTCTGAATAGCTAAACTGTTTGTATTAAATTTGTAGTATTCAAAACCACAATGTTGTTATCAGCTTAATAATATAACCAGTCTCCATTTTCTTGAATGGAATAGATTTTCCTCAGTCTGCTATTGTGGAGGGAGAAGATACACAGAAGCCTAACTGTGTGTATGTTTACATATTTATACCAAAGTATGCATTTGTCCTCCACCATTCACCCATGAAGATCCGGGGTAGAATAGGCCTTCAGCAACCCATGCCTGCCATAAAAGGCGACTGTGCTTGTCGTAAGAGGCTAATTAACGGATCAGGGTGGTCAGGCTTTTCTGACTTGGTTGACACATGTCATCGGTTCCCAATTGCGCAGGATCGATGCTCATGCTGTTGATCACTGGATTGTCTGGTCCAGATTTGATTATTTACAGACCGCCATATAGCTGGAATATTGCTGAGTGCTGTATAAAACTAAACTCACTCACTCACTTATCCACCATTCTTTCTTGCTGACATGGGTGATGTATGACTTACTCATGTAAGGGAGGTGTCCACGACCTGTGTATGATATTGTTACATATACTTCCAGTTCCTACTTTGTAATGACGCCACATGATCCAGACTTGTTAAGCATTGAGGTACGAGAGTATCTTCATTCCAACAACGATGCTATGACCTCCAAGCCGATCCCCCAGGGAGCCTATAGTCTGTTTAGCTTCCCCTGCCACCCCCAAACACAAGCATGATGAAGTGTACCCAGGGATTATCCTCAGTGACCAGTAAGTCAAAGTAATCTTTGGTTCACGCTTCACTGTCTTTGTTTCCTCCTCTGATGGGAATTCTGTAAGAAAAGGTACCTGCTGTGATGTAACACATGCTATGTTTGGGATTACACTTTCTCAGTAAAGTATTCTAGTACTTGTCCACCCTCATCATCATCATCCACCTCCCTCATCATCATCATCCACCTCATCATCCACCCTCATCATTCCCCCATCATCATCATCATCCACCCTCATCATCATCATCCCTCCTCATCATCCATCCTCATCATCATCCACCCTCATCATCCACCCTCTTCTTCATCATCCACCCTCATCATCATCCACCCTCATCATCCACCTCTTCATCATCCACTCTCATCATCATCATCATCCACCATCATCATCATCATCCCCCTTCATCCATCCTCATCATCATCCACCCTCATCATCCACCCTCTTCATCATCCACCCCCTCATCATCATCATCCACCCTCATCATTCCTCATCATCATCATCATCCACCCCATCATCATCATCATCATCCCCATCATCCACCCTCATCATCATCATCCATCCTCTTCTCTCATCATCCCCTCATCATCATCCCTATCATCACCCCCCTCACATCCACTCCTCATCATCCCACCCTCATCAGCATCCCCCTCATCATCCCTCTCTCATCAGCATCCACCCCTCATTATCCCCCTATCATCCACCCTTGATCATCCACCTTCATCATCGACCCTCATCATCATCATCCACCACCATCATCATCATCATCCACCGGCCATCATCATCACCCACCCTCATCAGCCACGGGCCATCATCCACCCTCATCATCATCATCACCCACCCTCATCAGCCACGCTCATCATCCACCCTCATCATCATCATCATCCACCTCTCATCAACCACCCTCATCATCATCATCATCATCATCATCATCATCCTCATCATCATCATCATGATCCACCTCATCATCATCATCATCCCTCATCATTCCCTCATCATCATCCACCCTCATCATCCACCCACATCATCCACCCTCATCATCATTATCATCCACCCTCATCATCATCCCCCTTATCATCCACCCACATCATCCACCCTCATCATCATCACCCACCTGGCTCATCATTACCCCATCATCATCCACCCACATCATCCACCTCATCATCATCCACCCTCATCAGCCACGCCATCATCCACCCTCATCATCATGATCATCAACCACCCTCATCATCCACTCCTCATCAACCACCCTCATCATCATCCACCCTCATCATCATCATCATCATCCCACCCTCATCATCATCATCAACCCCTCATCATCCACCCTCATCATCATCCACCCTATCATCATCCAACCCTCATCATCATTCCCTCATCATCCACCCACATCATCCACCCCTCATCATTATCATTATCATCCACCCTCACCATCAACCCTACTTTATCATCCACCCACATCATCCACCCTCATCATCATCCACCCACCCTCATCATCCACCCTCATCATCATCATCCACCCTCATCATCCACCTCATCATCATCATCCCCTCATCATCCACCCTCAACATCATCATCCACCCTCATCATCCACCCTCATCATCCACCCATATCATCCACCCATATCATCATCATTCTCCCTCATCATCCACCCTCATCATCTTTAAATGTTTTATACCTATCTGAAATGGCTTCATGGTTTCAGGAGAAATTATGTGTTTCATTTAAAAACAAAAGTTTTCTCCAAAATGTTAAAGACCAGTTACCTTGAACCTGATATATGAAATAGTCACAATATGTAGCCTGGTCGAGACATATTGAGCTGAAATCCAATATACAAGCAACAGCTTGTAAAACAAACTGTGACTCCAACATTATTTTTCCAATATATTCTATTTGATCGTAATTCCATAAAATTAAAGGGGCAGTGGGGTAGGCTTGTTAAAGTGTTTGCACATCACACTGAAGACCCGGGTTCGATTCCCACATGGGCATCTATGTGTGAAGCCCTTTCAGGTGCCACCCGCAGTGATATTGCTGGACACTGATTAAAGTGGTGTTAAACTCACTCACTCACTCATTCATAAAACCAAAACATGCATAAACTTTATGATTTAGAATGTATTGCGCAAAAGGGTCACAAACACAAAAAAATAATGTTTATCCTGTTTTTATCTCTGCTGTGTTGTAGCTCGGCGGCCCGGAGCAAGGAGGACTTGAAGGAGATGGGCATCACACACGTGGTCAACACCTGTATGGGGAGCCAAGTTCAATATGATTGACACTAGTGCTGAATATTTTAGTGATGTTGGAATCAAGTTTTTGGTTTCCTGGGAAGGACATTTTTTACATACAACCTGAGTCAGCACTTTGAGAAGGCAGCTGATTTCATTGACAAAGCTCTTGCAGACAATGGTGAGTTTTCAAGGAATATGAACATAGATTGGGTTGTACTGTCTTAGGTATTCATCTGGGATTTCATGTTATTAAATGAAGTTAGTGAGTGAGTGAGTGAGGTGAGTTTAGTTTTATACCGCGACTCAGCAATATCCAAGCTATATGGCGGCATCTGTAAATAATCGAGTCTGGACCAGACAATCCAGTGATCAACAACATGAGCATCAATTTGCGCATTGGGAACCGATGACATGTGTCAACCAAGTCAGGCAAACTGACCACCCCATCCCGTTAGTCACCTCTTCACGACAAGCATAGTCGTCTTTTATGGCAAGCACATGGGTTGATTCGAAGATCTATTCTACCCGGATCTTCACGGGTCTATTAAATGAAGTGATGTAAACTTGATGCTCATCTGTATTGATCTTGTTATCACAGGAATGCAAAAAAATCAAAAAGAATATTTGGAACTATGGTTACATGGAATAGGATTTAAATGCAATGGAGTAGTTATTATTGAAAATTGCTACAGACTTAGGGACCGTTCATAACCTATGACTAGAGGGGGTTGGTGATGATTTTGAAGGGATGTCATCAAGTTTCAACACATGTACTGGGGGAGTTTGTACATCAGTAAATTAAAAACATTATGCTTTAAAAATTATAAAAAGGGGTGGGTAACTCACTTTGTACATGACATGCTAGGGGTGGAGGTGGGGACACTCTACTTGTAAATAAATTTAGAGGGGTTGGGTGGGGTTGGGGGTTACATTCACATTGTACATGCTTCTCCATAAAAATCATCCTCCTCCTCCCTAGCCATAAATTATGATTGGTCCCTTAGGGGAGAATATTGGCCTTTTGGGAGGTCAAGATAGAGTACTTCAAAACTGAACATCTTGTTTTCTGATCATTAAAGACTGTGGGTGGATTGTGGGTGGGGGTATGTCCCAAGTAAGAGGCATGGAGGAGTAAGCTCCCTTAGACATGCCTGGTCCCAAAGATCATGAGTTCGAATCCAGATTAGCCTGTGACTCCAGATTTGTTTGCACCATACTCATGGGTTTCCCCAAAGTGGTAGGCATCTAAGATCTGCATCACTTGTGGCAGTCCTCCAAATGTGTTGACTTGTCAGGACATAACTAGGACATTATCCAGGATCCCAAACTCAGGACCCATGCCAGGCAAATTGGATAAAAATTGTGACTGGGATAAAACAGAAATTCATGACCTTATGTGATAAATTCTGAGGCATTGGGAAATTGTTTATCTGGAATTTTTACTGTCATTTGCTGGAGACATGGAATAAGTGTCAGTCACTGAGCAGATCTGGATAAATCCTTGAAATTCTGTTTAGAGCAATGAACCAAACTCACTGACTGTGTTCTCTGCAACTTGTCTTTGTTCTGTTGTCCAGGGAAGATCTACATCCATTGTATGCAGGGCATCAGCAGATCAGGGTCCACAGTATTGGCATTTCTCATGTTGAAGCGAGATATGCCTCTGAAAGAGGCTGTGAAATTAGTTCGAGCCAAGCGAGAGATCTTCCCCAATGACGGCTTTCTAAAACAGCTGTGTGAGCTCAACAAGAAGTTGCACGAGAAGCCATCTTGACGTCTGCTGAATCCATAGTGACTTGAGTGTACAGACCTACATATCAATCATGTCCAGACCATAATGAGATTGGTAGAGGATTGAAACTCAATTCCTTTTCTACTCCCTCTGTACCTGTACTTTCTTATGTTTTCCTTTTCAAGGGATTGTGAGTAACACAGTGATTTAAGTGTTCGCTTGTCACATAGAAGATCTGGGTTTGATTCCCCTCAAAGGCCTATTTCTGTGATATTTGAGAATGTCCTAGGTTGTATGAGGGCCATGTCAGGGACACTGTGACAATCTATCCTGGTTTCATCAGCAGCAGGGCGTACTGGGCTGTGTAAGAGTGAATGTTTTAGTTTAGTTTTACACCGCTTTTTAGCAATATTCCAGCAATATCATCGTGGAGTACAACAGAAATTGGCTTCACACATTATACCCAAGGGGAATCGAACTCGGGTCTTTGGCGTGATGAGCGAACACTTTAACCACTAGGCTACCCTACCCGACAGCTTATGTTGAGTAAGAATTTCCTGAGTTTCATCAAAGCATTTGAATGGCTTTGGTACTTTCAGGGACATTGTTGAAAATGGGTTTAACCAATTTGTTATTAAACTTGACTCACATTCTCACTTCGTAATTCTTCTAACAATTATGCTTTAATCATTTGTTGATAGATATTTTGGCATCTATTTTGATTACTGTTTCCATGGAACATATTTTACTGAGCGTAATTAGCTTTACTGGATAAATATCAGTGTTATTTTATTGAAATGTATGTTTTGTTACCGTGTTGATCTGTTGTTGGAGAGAAACCCTCTCGTGGGGCTTTTCGTGTGTTTGTATTTGAACCAGCAAATGAATCAGAACCAGCAAATGGGGGCACATGTTGTTTACGGTGCCTCAAATCGAGATTTGTGTGTGTGTTTTGCACTTAGGTGGAGCAATAAACAAAATGAATTTGAAGACTTAACAAAAATAACTTCTGTATTACAGAACATGAACATAGGTCATTGTGAAAAAATGTTTTGAATTAAATATTTTGATTGAAAAATTTATTTAAAAAATTACTACTTTTTTGATCTATGTTTTGATCGACTGCACACGCTCACAAATTAAGTAACTCCTCGACTAACAATTTACTAATCAATTACTTCAGACGTTTCCTGCTGACTTTTTTACAGTGCACAGATTTGTGATCATGTTGATTAATGCAAAGATGTCTTCACGGTAGGAATACAGGTCATCTTCAGCAATAATAGTTGTGTATTGGGATGTTTATTTATCCGTGGAGATTCTCTTTGTAATAACCCATGAACAAATTCATTTTGGAAACATTTTAAATGGCTATCTTTTTACAGACGTGCATTTCAAAGTACATGTATATATTTCACAAGGGGAGACAACTCTGTCTGCCTCGGCAACGCACATCTGGCTGGGTTGCTGTCTGTGGTAAAAAGTCAGTGAAGTGACACTAACTTGGAACATGTCTCAGTAACAGAGCCTTCAAAAATAGATCAGTTAATCCCTGCTATCAGCTGGGGCGTAACTTGCAGTCTTTAAAGGGCATTTAGAAATTGGAAGAACATGAATGCATGACACTTTTATAGATAACAGATTCTTTTTATTCTCTATCACAACGTTTCAAAGCTAATTCTTGCTCCTTCATCAGGTGATAGGGTGTAACATGTATGTTGATCAGTTAACCCTTGCTATCAGTTGAGGTGCAACACGCATGTTGCCCAGTTAACTCTTGCTGTTAGCGCCTGTGTTGCCCAGGGTAACCCTTTGTCAGCAGGGATAACCAGATGTTGTAGTAAACGGCCAGTGATTCTCTCAGGTCTGTGACTTTTCCATGTTCCAGGTGCCTGTCTCACCTCTCAGAGCATTATCAGGTTTTCAGTGTTGTCACGTTTGACAGGGAGAATAGAAGACGTTGTAGGTTATCCCTGTGGGTTAGTTCTGTGTTGTTTTATATCTATTTTCCTCTTACTCATGTTTAATACATTTTTACAAAATCACTAATATGCTGGATATAAAATATATTGTATCTCGTACATTTTTACGAATAAATATGTTTCCTACTTGTCATTGTTTAATATTACTCAGGATAGACTCAGGATAGACTCCATTGTAAGTTAACATTGAATGACTTATAACCTCCCTGTTGATGTCATGAGGACGTGTCAATTTCACGTCAAGCCTTTCTCCCACTGGGATACTGTTCCAAGTTGCACAATCAAACAGTACTGATGTACTCTCTCATAACGTAGGGGCGATGGGGTAGTCTAGTGGTTAAAGCGTTGGCTCGTCGCGCCGAAGACCTGTTCGAATCCCCACATGGTTACAATGAGTGAAGCCCATTTCTGGTGTCCTTCACCGTGATATTGCTGGAATATTGCTAAAAGCGGCGTAAAACCAAACTCAGTCAGTCAGTCTAATAACGTAACCCTAGACTGACTGACTGACTGAGTTTAGTTTTACGCCGCTTTTAGCAATATTCCAGCAATATCACGGCGGGGACACCAGAAATGAGCTTAACATTATTGTGCCCATGTGGGAATCATAACCCCTAGACTTCATGAAGGCAACCTAATACACTGGGCCCATACAAAGAAATCAGTCTTAACGAAAAGGATGATCGTAACTCCTCCCATCCTTTAACACAAATTTACGACATCCATACAGTTGCGTCCCTTTAGCTGACAATGATCCGACGATCGTAGGTTCGAATTCACCTTGATTATCTTTGATTGGTCAGCACCATATGTGTTCCTTCCATATTGAATCGACACACTGTGATGTACCAAAGGACTGTATCCGGTATCTATATATATCTGTTGAAAGTGGAAAAAGCTATCTGTAATCGCTTCTTAAATAGTCCAAGTATTACTTAATTGAACAAGACCGTAAAACGCAACTGAATTAAACAGTTTACTTTATAAATGGGTACAGAGAGTTGAGGAGATTTTACCCTCAACAGCATAATGTGGCCCATGTTCCCAAGGGTACTTAGATGCAGATTGGATGGTTATATTGTGTTTCATGTACACAGTCTACCCTGGTTATAACACCAAAGTGGTTATAACGCACAACATTGCCAGCAAGGATTTCCCACCACTACAGTTCCCTGGCTATGACATCACAACCTTTCGCTGAACAAATGTTCCAGTTCCCATTCTATATGTTGCCAGTTCTTTTTGCCAGGTGGTCAACTTCAACACACCGTCTGCTTGGAGTAGGTGATTATTCAGGAAGTGTGAAAAGTTTTAAACCTTCCTTAAGCTGATTAACAGTCCGTACTCACTCACTCACATACGAGACCGCCTCCGTGGTGTAGTGGTTAGAGCGTCCGCACGATCCCCGACCGCGTCATACCAAAAGACGTTCAAATATGGTACTTTGTTGGTCCTTGCCTGGCGCTCGGCATTAATGGGTACAACAAGGACTGGTCGGCTCGGAGTCAGTATAATGTGTCTGAGTGGGTATTCATGCTTCACTGCGGCATGGTATCTCAGTGGGCTAGCACTATAAAACCAGCTTAAGTCTGGGCTAGTACAAGCAGCCGCACTTACACATACACACGCATCCACGTCGTCATATGAGCGAAATATTCTCAAGTACGACGTAAAACCCAATTTCACCTCAGCTCACTCACATACGGACCCCATAACATATTTGTGTGTCAGGGAAACCAAGGATAACTGTGTTTGAAAAACGTGTTTATTATGAACAAAAAGTACAAACAATATTTACATAACATTTACAAACAAACAACAAAACAATAATGACTAACTGACTGACTGACTCACTCACGTGTAGTTGGATTCAGTATTTTAGCCTGTCTTAAGAGTACCCGGAACAAACAATATCAAGTATCTCTGTCATGAGAAGTTACATACAGGATGGTGGACATCCGAGTGGCCCCGGTAGAGCTATGGACGTCATCTTCTGTGTCAGATCAAGACGTAAATGAAGCCGTATTTCCGAGGGCAGAGCTGTTCCCTATGTACGTCATAATTGTCCCCTGGGCAGTTTTGACTGGTTTGTTATATTTGACATTATTGAGCGACCATACTCATCATCGACCATTCTTCTGTACGTATTTCACAAGACGTGACATTTCCCGCACCGACTCGAACAGCCCTTCTCCATTTGGTGCGCATGCGCCGTGTATGTGCCATTTCCGGTTTTGAGGTCGCTGATGTCAAGTTCCTCAGCAACCTCGGGGGCTTTAGGGCACCTATGTCCAAAACACAAATATATTTTACAAATTACTTCATTCATAATAATTTCCTTCTGCGGCGTGATAAACGATGTCCCATGACTCCAAAGAACTCATCTTTTATTTAATGTGAAGAGTGGCGGCAGGGTGGCCCAGTGGTGAATGTGTTAGCTCTTCTCAGATAAATGGTTTGATTTCCCCAAACACCTCGTGTCCATCACTGTACAGTATGCTAGCATATGGCAGGAATGTGACTTATGCCAGTACAAAAACCAACATGTTATGTATCTACCTGTCGGTAAAACCATTGGTAAGTTCTCCCACCGCCCTGGTTTAATTTCCCCATAACAGTGTCACTGTGCATAGTATCAACCACTAGTTTGCCTGCTGTAGGTCTGATTCTACCTTGCCGGTCATTATGGACTAGTCTGACGCACTCACCTGGCAAATCCTGCTTGTTAGCTATCACCACTACCGGCACCCCCGCCATCTCCGGCGAACTGCAGATTACATGGAGCTCCGAAATGGCTTCCTTCATGCGCAGACGATCTGCGCTGTCCACCACGTAGATCAGACCTGGGGAGTATCGAAGAATTGACTTCAACATGTTTGGCGATGTTCTCACTGTGTAAAATCCTCACAGCCAACCATTATAACTTCACAGACTGCTCACGTAACGTTTAACACAAACACACACCATGAAGTCTGTGACACACCCATCCTTTTGTCATCCAATCAGGATTCAGTGGTCAGTGGGAAAATGCAAAAAAATATTTGTTTGGTTAGCCAATCAAAAGCCACGGTATATTTAAAAGGCAATTGCGTTATCCCATGTAATTGTAGTTGGAATATCTATTGATGCAATTTATTTCGTGTTCCTAACCTTAAACCGTAGGGAAAGTTATGAAATGCTGTCTAGGGGTTGTATAATGTGTCGTGGTAGCATGTGTTGGTCAACCACTGCACTGCCGTCAACGTCAATCCACCCAGTGGGGGTATTACGATACGCCAGAACAGCCAGGCTACAGCTGAGGGCCCAGCTGGGGAGGGTCTCCCGTCAAGTTCACTCACAGACATTTTCTGATATCTACCCCATTTTGTCGGCCATAACAACAGACTGGGTGTACGTACTGTGCACCGTGGGTTATTCTGTGTGAAGAGTATGACTCCCATTTTAATATATGATAGTGTTGGGTACATTTGTTGACCTACCTTGTGTGTTGGGGTAGTAGCATTTGTGAATATGTTGACCTAGCTTGTGTTTTGTGTTGAGGTAGTAGTGTTGGGTATATGTTGACCTACCTTCGTGTGTTGGGGTAGTAGTGTTAGGTATATGCTGACCTACCTTGTGTGTTGAGGTAGTAGTGTTGGGTATATGCTGACCTACCTTGTGTGTTGAGGGTAGTAGTGTTGGGTATATGTTGACCTACCTTGTGTGTTGAGATAGTAGTGTTGGGTATATGTTGACCTACCTTGTGTGTTGGGGTAGTAGTGTTGGGTATATGTGATGACCTACCTTGTGTGTTGAGATAGTAGTGTTGGGTATATGTTGACCTACCTTGTGTGTTGAGGTAGTAGTGTTGGGTATATGTTGACCTACCTTGTGTGTTGAGATAGTAGTGTTGGGTATATGTTGACCTACCTTGTGTGTTAGGAGTAGTAGTGTTGGGTATATGTTGACCTACCTTGTGTGTTGAGATAGTAGTGTTGGGTATATGCTTGACCTACCTTGTGTGTTGAGGTAGTAGTGTTGGGTATATGTTGACCTACCTTGTGTGTTGAGGTAGTAGTGTTGGGTATATGCTGACCTACCTTGTGTGTTGAGGTAGTAGTGTTGGGTATATGTTGACCTACCTTGTGTGTTGAGGTAGTAGTGTTGGGTATATGTTGACCTACCTTGTGTGTTGAGGTAGTAGTGTTGGGTATATGTTGACCTACCTTGTGTGTTGGGTTAGTAGTGTTGGGTATATGTTGACCTACCTTGTGTGTTGAGGTAGTAGTGTTGGGTATATGTTGACCTACCTTGTGTGTTGGGGTAGTAGTGTTGGGTATATGTTGACCTACCTTGTGTGTTGGGGTAGTAGTAGTGTTGGGTATATGTTGCCCTACCTTGTGTGTTGAGGGGAAGTAGTGTTGGGTATATGTTGACCTACCTTGTGTGTTGAGATAGTAGTGTTGGGTATATGTTGACCTACCTTGTGTGTTGAAGTAGTAGTGTTGGGTATATGTTGACCTACCTTGTGTGTTGGGTTAGTAGTGTTGGGTATATGTTAACCTACCTTGTGTGTTGAGGTAGTAGTGTTGGGTATATGTTGACCTACTTTGTGTGTTGGGGTAGTAGGTGTTAGGTATATGCTGACCTACCTTGTGTGTTGAGGTAGTAGTGTTGGGTATATGCTGACCTACCTTGTGTGTTGGGGTAGTAGTGTTGGGTATATGTTGACCTACCTTGTGTGTTGAGATAGTAGTGTTGGGTATATGTTGACCTACCTTGTGTGTTGGGGTAGTAGTGTTGGGTATATGCTGACCTACCTTGTGTGTTGAGGTAGTAGTGTTGGGTATATGTTGACCTACCTTGTGTGTTGAGGTAGTAGTGTTGGGTATATGTTGACCTACCTTGTGTGTTGAGATAGTAGTGTTGGGTATATGTTGACCTTGCTTTGTGTGTTGGGGTAGTAGTGTTGGGTATATGTTGACCTACCTTGTGTGTTGAGATAGTAGTGTTGGGTATATGTTGACCTACCTTGTGTGTTGAGGTAGTAGTGTTGGGTATATGTTGACCTACCTTGTGTGTTGAGGTAGTAGTGTTGGGTATATGCTTGACCTACCTTGTGTGATGGTAGTAGTGTTGGGTATATGTTGACCTACCTTGTGTGTTGAGGTAGTAGTGTTGGGTATATGTTGACCTACCTTGTGTGTTGAGGTAGTAGTGTTGGGTATATGTTGACCTACCTTGTGTGTTGGGGTAGTAGTGTTGGGTATATGTTGACCTACCTTGTGTGTTGAGGTATTAGTGTTGGGTATATGTTGACCTATCTTGTGTGTTGAGGTAGTAGTGTTGGGTATATGTTGACCTGACTTGTGTGTTGGGGTAGTAGTGTTGGGTATATGTTGACCTACCTTGTGTGTTGGGGTAGTAGTGTTGGGTATATGTTGACCTACCTTGTGTGTTGAGATAGTAGTGTTGGGTATATGTTGACCTACCTTGTGTGTTGAAGGTAGTAGTGTTGGGTATATGTTGACCTACCTTGTGTGTTGGGAGTAGTAGTGTTGGGTATATGTTGACCTACCTTGTGTGTTGAGGTAGTAGTGTTGGGTATATGTTAACCTACCTTGTGTGTTGGGGTAGTAGTGTTGGGAATATGTTGACCTATCTTGTGTTTTGGGATAGTAGTGTTGGGTATATGTTGACCTACCTTGTGTGTTGAGGTAGTAGTGTTGGGTATATGTTGACCTACCTTGTGTGTTAGGGTAGTAGTGTTGGGTATATGTTGACCTACCTTGTGTGTGTTGAGGTAGTAGTGTTGGGTATATGTTGACCTACCTTGTGTGTTGGGGTAGTAGTGTTGGGTATATGCTGACCTACCTTGTGTGTTGAGGTAGTAGTGTTGACCTACCTTGTGTGTTGAAGTAGTAGTGTTGGGTATATGTTGACCTACCTTGTGTGTTGGGTTAGTAGTGTTGGGTATATGTTGACCTACCTTGTGTGTTGAGGTAGTAGTGTTGGGTATATGTTGACCTTACCTTGTGTGTTGGGGTAGTAGTGTTGGGAATATGTTGACCTATCTTGTGTTTTAGATAGTAGTGTTGGGTATATGTTGACCTACCTTGTGTGTTGAGGTAGTAGTGTTGGGTATATGTTGACCTACCTTGTGTGTGTTGGGGTAGTAGTGTTGGGTATATGTTGACCTACCTTGTGTGTTGAGGTAGTAGTGTTGGGTATATGTTGACCTACCTTGTGTGTTGGGGTAGTAGTGTTGGGTATATGCTGACCTACCTTGTGTGTTGAGGTAGTAGTGTTGGGTATATGTTGACCTACCTTGTGTGTTGGGGTAGTAGTGTTGGGTATATGTTGACCTACCCTTGTGTGTTGGGAGTAGTAGTGTTGGGTATATGCTGACCTACCTTGTGTGTTGGGGTAGTAGAGTTGGGTATATGTTGACCTACCTTGGTGTGTTGAGGTAGTAGTGTTGGGTATATGTTGACCTACCATGTGTGTTGGGTTAGTAGTGTTGGGTATATGTTAACCTACCTTGTGTGTTGAGATAGTAGTGTTGGGTATATGTTAACCTACCTTGTGTGTTGAGATAGTAGTGTTGGGTATATGTTGACCTACCTTGTGTGTTGAGGTAGTAGTGTTGGGTATATGTTGACCTACCATGTGTGTTGGGTTAGTAGTGTTGGGTATATGTTAACCTACCTTGTGTGTTGAGATAGTAGTGTTGGGTATATGTTGACCTACCTTGTGTGTTGGGGTAGTAGTGTCTCCACAGCTGTCGGATCTTCTCCTGACCCCCACGTCCCACACGGTGAACGTCACACCTTGACCGGGCTGATGGTCTCCACGTTGAAGCCGATGGTGGGGATGGTGGAAACGTCCTCTTCCAGCTTCAGCTTGTACAGGATCGTCGTCTTACCTGCGATATCAACGCCATCGAAAAGGTGAAAAATAGTTGTTGTTTTCAACCAAGACCCCAATTCTTGTAGGAATACCATCTCAGAATTGCAGGAACAGTGCCGTGTCGACGTAAAACTATATTCACTCTAACCTCGGCCAGTGCCACGGTTATACTGTTTACTCCCAAGTCCAGGGGACCACAACGAGCACTTTACTCTTAGCTCGACACAAACGGAGTGCTATATATAGTATGAGATACTATTCAGACTTACAGTCTAAAGTGTCTTTTCAGTACTTCGTGAGATCCCCCTGTCCTGCAATACATGACTGAACGTGCCAAGGTACACTATCGATCAAAGTTGGTATATTCGACCACTTCTTTCTTCATATCCTCAATATTTCCAGGGAAAATATATAAGGGGGAGTGGTCCTCCTCGGAAAGCTCCTAAGCTATGCCTCGGATCGTCACGTGACCAGTGTAGCCAATGTGGCGGCAGCGTAGTTTTTACGATTGAGCCCGGTTTATTTTCAACAGCTGATTACATACGCTGAGTGTTGTGACAACTGAAAACCTACATGTAGAAGATAAGTTACCTATTCTGTCACTTCATTTTAAGTCAAATAATTGTTATTAGTGTCAGTATAAGTACAGTTGATTTGTAGTAAAGTTTCAAGTGGGCATCTTGTAGCTCACTGGCTTCAATTCTCAGTACACAGCGAAGAAAGACTAAATTATATCACTAAAAACTTCTTTCACATATTCGTTTATTTTTAGAAGGGAAATATACCTTTAGTTGAAAGGTGTTTGCAAGTAATAGTGATATTTTTATAACTAAAAAGATTTTGTTAGGGTGCATTGAGGTGTGTGAAAATATGACATATCGCCGATCTGCCATTGAAATACTACAGGGCGTTGTTTGAGTGTTTCTAGTTATTGTTCTAAAGCATCTTTCACATACACCTTTAATTTTATGAGGGAATATACCATCAGGTGAAAGGTTTTTTTGCAAGTAATAGTGATAGTTTTAAATTGTTTTTGTTTTGTTAGGGTGTATTTGAGGTGTGTGAAAAATATGACATATCGCCGATCTGTTCTTATACGCCATTGGTGCTTGTCATGCTTGAGTGTTATAGTTCTAAAACTTCTTTCTTTCTTGTTGATCTTAGTATTTGACAAAACTGGAAAGGTGTTTACAACGCTTTGTGATAGTTCTAAACTTTCTGTTCTTGAGGGACTGTGACAGTGTCAGTTAACATTCTGCCAATGCCCATGTCATTCCACACATGCAATAAGATATCTGAATTAGTTACTAATGTAAAACAATGTCTCAAAGTATTTTTTTTTTAAAAGGACAGTTGATGTTAACACATGTGTTCTACCGATAGTTTTACGTTCTTTAACATGTTTGGGGAGGGATGGCCGTGGTGTATCATTTATTCTTTCATTCATTCACATATGTTCTTTTCTTTTGTTCTTTTTTTCTTAATTTCTTTCATTCATTCACATAACATTCTTGCTCTTAATTCATTCATTCATTCATTGTAAAATTCCGACTGATACAATACACTGGCTGAAGTACTGTTAAACGCAGCCGAAGTTGCGCTGGGACCGAACCAAGTCACTGTGTGCGTTGGAGCATGACGAGGCACACGTTAATTAGTACAAATGGTAAAGAAAGCAAGCGAGTGACCTATCCCTGTTGTAGAGTATCCCTGCTAATTCTAAGTCCTTTTATTGTTTATTCTGTCCTTCATCAGTCCCCACACATTCTCAAAAGGGTTATAATCTTGGCTGTAGCTGGGCAAGTCTAAAACTTGAACATTTTCGTCCGACAGCCACTGTTTTGTGTAGCCAGCGGTGTGTTTTGGGTCATTATCATGCTGGAAAATCCCATTATCTTCATACAGTGTTCGGGCTGTTGGAAGGAGGTAACCATTTAAGATGTCAACATATCGTTCCTTCGTCAAACTTCCAGTGAAAATACACAACGGCGTCACTCCCACATGTGAAATTTCGGGCTATGTTTTGGGCGTTGGTAGATAGGTTTCACGGTACCTTTTGTTTACATTTTCACACAGTTCGAAAACAGCCAGACAAAACTTTCATCAGAAAAGGAAACATAATCCCAATCAGTGTATCTACACCAGTTTAAACGTCTTTCTTTTGTTCATCATTTATCAATGGTCAGGGGATTCTGCGCCGTATCACCCAGTTAAGTCTGTGTAATTCGTTTCTAAGGGTTCCATTACATAATGGAGGACTTCCTCTATCAATCATCTCATTTCTGATACATTCAATATGTTTCAATTTTCCCCTGCTCACTTTCCCCGGTTAGACGTAGTACTGAACTTCCTTGGCCTCCCTGCCCTTACCTTGTGCTCAATGCTAACTCGTGACTGAATATTTAAGTTCTGTATTTAAAGTTCTGTATACTGTAGACAGGAATTTCACGTCTACTAGCTAACTCATTTGCATTAGTCACACCCCTTTGAAAATCATCTAGAATCAGCTTTCTTTTCCCTTCTGCTGTCAAATCTGCCATGTCAACAAAGGAAGCCGTATGCTACATCAGGGTAGATAACTCTTGATGTAGTAACAAGAGTTCCCTCCCATTATGAGTACCTTACTACATAATGTAACATCTATTTTAAGAGTTTATTATCAGTATTAGGAAACAAACATTTTCTCAATAATTTCTGTGAAAACAGTATATGGTGAGTCTATCGGCTTCAAGCGATATAACAAGTAAAAATCTGTCGTACGTTGTGAACATTGTGTATTTCTTTATTTACCACACCTCACCCACCACATCATCGTTTAATCGTGAGAATATTTGAGCCCTTTGATTATCAAAGACAGTTTTTGAAATTTATAAAACCATAACATTATTTGAATGAGAACATAGGACTTCTTACGGTATATGATCTGTCTTGTATTATAGGTTTTTAACAACAGGTTATACTGATCAGTAAATAAGGAACAGCTTAATACTGATTCTCTGAGTTAAACATAATGAAATATTATTATGTTTTACAGATTAAAGATGAAAATGCAGCAGAGAGGGTTCGAGTGATCCTGGCACAGTCAGGCTGGTAAGGTTCATCATCAGCTCAGGGCCCTCGCCCCCTCTACACGCAGCCAAGGAAACACTGCCTAGTCGAACCCACCAAGAACTTTTCGGAGAATATGAAGGCTCCCCAACACTGCAGCCTTCTGCATTACCCAGAGTGTCAGAAGGGCTGTACTCCTGTTGGAAAACCTGGGCACTCTCCTGATCTGCGCCAAGAGATCAGGGGTACCAAACCAAGGGCACCGAGAACAATGGGGAGCCTGGCGACAGTGTACTTGGGATGCAAGCGAGACATTTCAAAGGCGAGGGTCCGCATATTTATCATGCTTTTCCTGAATCTTGCCAATCATACTGCTGTCAAAGGGACAGAAAATTCAATGATATAAATAAATTCATTGGCTTTATCAAAAAGGACAAGATCAGGTTTGTTGGCAGGAATTCTTCTGAGGGCTGTATATGGGCCTATTCCACAGAAGTTTGAAACATCATTTTTCCATGACGCCCTGGACATGTTCAGCGTCGTACCATGGATGGACCTCGGAGTCAAAGCCACAGGCATGTCGGAGACGGTAGTAAAAGCACCGAGTCATGCCATAATGTCGTTTAAGATATGCTGTTTGTGCCAAGGAAGGGCATCCACTGACAAGGTGTTGGACAGTCTCTGTGAATTCATTGCAAAGTCGACATTCCATATTGATATTTTCTTTAAGAATCACATTTAGGCGATTGCGAGTGGGAAGTGATTATTATTATTATTGTTATATCTCCCCATCCCTCCAGAAGATCCCGGTTATACGCATTGATCTTCACCAACCAACAGTTAAAATTATAAACTGGGTCTGGCGATGGGACTCGATTATTCAAGGAACGCCGTCATGTACCTGGAATTTTTATTAGTCCGTCTTTTCAACAAACAAATTCACAAACAAACAAACATCCCCGAGCCTACCTGCCCCATCCAACCCAAGCATCAGGATACGAGCTTTCGCCGATGAAAACTCTTGGGTGGATCCTCATAAGCCGTGAGAGTGACCAGCCCATAGCGATGTCACAAAACGTCCCTCAACACGATAACTAGTCCTCAAAATGTGTCCAGTTCGGCAGAAAGTGCGAGGTTGTATCACAGCCGTCCCTTTCCGCTCTGAATTTATACCAGTTGTCATCCCCAGTCTAGTCAGTCTGCTTGACTGTCGTCACCATGACCACATACACCAATGGGAGTCACATTCAGGAAGCTTGTCGGCGCAATATACAACTGTCAATTTCTGGTCACGTGGAGATCTAAAAATAGCTCCGCAGCGCGATGGGTATGGCAACAGCCATTTTCCGAAACCACCGAAATCCCCTCTATGGATATCATGTGCGAAAATACGACGATCCAATCAGAATGCGCATAAAGGGTTGAGGTACTTTGATAAAAATAATCCCGCTTACATTAATCGGTTTAATATGATTGTCTAGAAAACTTATATAAAATGTATCGTCATTTTCACATGACTTTTATTGCAACTGCATATTCAAGAAAATAATCCCATTTGCGATTTTAACCCGTCTTTAGAAATATGCATTTATAAAATAGATTTTTTATCAGCCGTTTACTTTATATCTATAATGCATGCATTAAGACGGGTTAAAAACAAAATGGGATATTTTTCTTGAATGTACAATTGTAATAAGAAAAATAACTTCATCAGCAAAAGACCCAAACACAATTGCTTAAAAAATAGTTATCACCTCTTAATAAATATGGAGATGTAAATAAAAATAAAATAAACTTTCGAAACCAAATGGATCAACACGCATCATGTCAGTAAGCGCTGGTAAAATCTCAGAGGAAAACACTGAGTGGAAACACGGGGGCAGTTATTAATGTGAACAAACACACGAGTGTGTATTTGAATGTTTCACTGTTCATGGCGCTGTCCACATTAAAACTCAAAATTATGCAAAACAATTCTGCTATAGTTACATCGTTATTTGTAATGTCAAAATGACGATACATATTCCCCGATTTTCTAAAAACAATCACATACTGTCATAACCGATTAAATGTTCTCGGGATTATTCTTATTTAATTACCTCAAACCCTTCCACTCATTCTTATAGGTTTGGCGTATTTTCGCATATGATATACATCGGAGACGAGACACTCTCGGCGGTTACGGAAATGGGCGAGTGGTGACGAATGGTGGAAAGGTATCATTTACAAGGTGAAGGATATTTCAGAATTGACAGAGTGAACTAAAACTGACACGACTACGTTCTGACCCGTGGGTACACTAATCAGCATCACGTTCGTCAAATCCAATCACACATCACAGACAATTGGAAACAGTCAACTTCCCCTGCATCGGCAAATCAAAACAGTAACCCTCAGCGCAGAAGGCTATTTTTAGAGGGATTCCCGTCACATGACCCGGTTTCCCGTGACGTCATTTTTCTCCAGCGTGTTCAGGGCTAGGTGTTTGGAGTTTCGTCAGCAGGTGTGCGTGTGGAATATGACAGCGTAGAAACCATGTTGCATCACGACCCGAAACATAAACATATCCCTCCACGCTAGAGCCTCGTCGACTATTAACCAGGTTTAATAATACTGTATCATTCAAACTCTGATCGAGACACAACATAAGACGACATTAACGCGTCCAGCACTGTCTCAGACACAGGCCCCACTGCGGGTCAGAAAATCGATAAACTAGGCCCCGGTTTAGTATCAACATCCCCTACTAGACCGAGTTGCTGTGCCGGAAGTGTACAAAACTAGGTCGTCAGCGCAATCAAATTGGTTAATAAAATGACAACAAATGCACGCGAAATGAGAGGAAACTCAAACGTCTATCATCCGAGATGTCACTATCTGATGTTTTATCTTGGTAAGAATAATTTTAAAACGAGTACAAATATTTTTTAAAGAAACACATTCATGCAGTGTAATGTGTTAGCCAATCAGATCGCCGGAGGTAGTGAAGTCAAGTGCTGACGAGCTAGTTTTGTATACTTCCGGCACAGCAACTCGGTCTTTGGCGATTTAATAAAAACATCAAATGCATCCCCACGCAAAGCCCATGTATATGCTTCCTACATACATCGGAGATATGGACAAAGCTTTTGATACTTGTGAGACCTTTAAAATACGATATATTCATTGACATGTGCGTAATTGTCCGGTTTTCGATCATGTCACCGTATTTCTGTGATGAACCTTTATGTATTATATAGTAGGGGGTGTTGATACTAAACCGGGGTCTAGTTTATCGATTTTCTGACCCACAGTGGAGGCCTGTGCGTCAACCCTGTACGGTATATCTCTTCCTGTGCTCAGTTTCCCTCTACAATGGTTACTTAGGGTCTATCTCGCCTGATGCTCAGTTCCCTCTACACCGGTTACCTAGGGTCTATCTCGCCTGGTGCTCAGTTCCCTCTACACCGGTCACCTAGGGTCTATCTCTTCCTGTGCTCAGTTCCCTCTACACCACCGGTTACCTAGGGTCTATCTCGCCTGGTGCTCAGTTCCCTCTACACCGGTTACTTAGGGTCTATCTCGCCTGGTGCTCAGTTCCCTCTACACCGGTTACCTAGGGTCTATCTCGCCTGGTGCTCAGTTCCCTCTACACCGGTCACCTAGGGTCTATCTCGTCTGGTGCTCAGTTCCCTCTACACCGGTTACCTAGGGTCTATCTCGCCTGGTGCTCAGTTCCCTCTACACCGGTCACCTGGCTGTCTCGGGTAAGTGTGTTGTCACAGGGCTGCGTCTATTCCAGTTATAACGCTACACACCTGTCCTACTGTGTACAGGTAACACTACAATGGTTCATCTAACTGTTAGGTCATCTCCAGGAACATTCTCAAATCCGGGCACCTAATATACTGTAATATTTAGACTGAGCATGGTGTATGAAGTGTCTACTTTCATTACTTCCTTGATCAGCCTCGTGACTTCAATACTGAGATCTGTCCCGATGTATGTGGATGTATGTATATAATGTGTGTTTGCTATACGGGCCTGTTGTAATTATGTTGCTCTGAATTGATCACAGATAAATGCTACAGCACAAAATATGGTAAAATACTTCTACATGACCACAATATTTTAATCTAATATAGAGAAACCCGAACTTAACGTCACCTACTTTCGATATGGTAATGAGCGGGTGTGGCCATGTAACTCTGTCAGGTGATTGACATGCTGCACACGGTTCATAACTGCATGTTGTAAAGCTGGTGACGACGAGTTGCAAAGATCCATTGACGAGCTGCTCACAGACAAGCCACTGATTCATGGTGCTCCGTGACACCAAAACATGCCCAGGCTGTTATACTATACAATGTTATGTGGTAATGCTTGTCAACTTCGAAAGATCACATATTCCTATAGCACAATAGCACAACTCATACAACAGCCCGAGGTACCGACCACCTGACTTTCATGGCAGTGTTTCGTGAAGTAAACACCTGAACTAAATTGTGAATTAATTCCGTAAAAGAATAAGCTTTGAAACCAGCAAAAAACAACAACAAAGAAATTTGCTGTAATTAACATTTGCATTCTAAAATTAACTAAGTTCAGAAACCCGTACAAAGGCACCACAACTGCCCATAAACTTTCGTATTGTGGCTCAACGGTTCCAGTATGTCAGGCAAAGGAGGGAATTTTGTGTTTGTGTAAACCGTGAAATATCTGAGGAATGTATGTTCTGTGTTTTACGTATGAAAATGAAAGTATCCAGTATCAATATCCGGCCAAAGAAAAATCTACAAGACGGACAGAATCAAACAAACAGACGGTCACTTCCCTTCATCCTATAACCAGCTTCTAACGCTTCTCAAATACAGGATTGGTTGTGTATAACGTGAAGTATGTGATAGAATAAGCTGTTCTATGTTTTATTTATGATCAGGAAGACAGAGCGACCGACACACGCACACACCATACTCACACAATGTAGACGACCCATGTTTTATTTATGACCAGCAAGACAGAGCGACCCACACACGCACACATCATACACACACAAATACAGACGGCCCAGTTGAAACCCGTCTACCAACGGTATCTCTCATTCATTATAGGATCTACATACATCTGGAATTTGTTTTCATTCGTTCATAATTCCAAGAGCAGGATTTACTAGACATAGTTGTTTTAGACCTATCAGTAAATCGGGACTACAAATATGGTCGGTGTTTGTGTAATGAATGTTGTGGTTTGTATAGTGGAAAGGATGTTTATGTCGTGTCTGCTGACTTTGGTAGGAGAGATGGCGACCTCCCAGAAGTTGACAGAACACTTCCTGACATGCACCATATGCACAGAGGTGTTTGACAAGCCCTGTACACTTGTGTGTAATCACACCTTCTGTCGGAAATGTGTCGTCAACTACACCAAAACCAGACGGGAAGCCATCAGTGCCAAGTCTCTCCTGTGTCCATTCTGCAGGAAGATGACGAAAGTGTCTGACCCCGAGAGACCAGTGGAGGCGTGGGCGGATGACGTCAAGCCGAGCTTTGTCATCCAGGGACTGTTGGACTCGTTTGGCCCCGGATCTAAAGGTGAATAGTTGTAGGTTGTAGCGCAATATACGTGTTGTTTACAAGCAGGTAACAGAATAATTGATTTAAGCAATATAAAATGTTTGTGATTGGGGGCGCGGTGGGCGAACTGGCTAAAGCGCCAGACTAGTGATCCAGCGAGATTGAGGTGCCGGGATCGAGCCCACCTGTGACCGGGTGTAAAAACCTTGGAGTCAACTTTGTGTGCAGACTCTTTCAGTGTTGTCACAACCCCTAGTGTACGGTACACAACCCTGTGCACTTAAAAGAACCCACGAATCCGTTGGTATATGACCAGATGGTGGCCCACATGAATACGTGCAAACACCCAGTTGCGGGTACAGCAACGTGCAGTAAACATGGACAAAGTACTGTGACTATGTGTCCCAGTCCACCAAGCTGTAAATGGGTACCTCGTAAGGATGGGAATGCCACACTAACTCGGTGCGCCTAGTGGCTGCAAGAGTTGTATGATCCCCAGGGAGTTGAGATTGACAATACGATGTGCCGTTGAACGAGGGAAAAACAAAGCGACTTTTCAGCAGCTGAGCTGAGCTGGATATCGGCGCTATACAAATGTTAGTATGTATGTGATGTTATGAACATTGTATGACCCCTGCTATGTATATACTAGTATAGTTTGATGTATGTAAAACCTGTTTGTGAGGAATGTGAACTTTCATTGTGGATATATGTTCAACGAGCAAGACACAGCATATCAGGTGACATGACCAAAGTCATATATAAACCTTATTCATGATCCGTGCAACAACGTTTACAGTGACACAATTTCAAACATATTGTTTGAAACATGACGTTTCAACATCAGACGTGTTCCGAAGTTTCCGATACATTTTCTCACATGTGTCAAGTAGGAACATGATGCGACACATCCAGCCCTATAATACATTGTGATGTCACCAGGTTAATATCACCACATCTAGCCCTATAATACATTGTGATGTCACCAGGTTAATATCACCACATCTAGCCCTATAATACATTGTGATGTCACCAGGTTAATATCACCACATCCAGCCCTATAATACATTGTGATGTCACCAGGTTAATATCACCACATCCAGCCCTATAATACATTGTGATGTCACAAGGTTAATATCACCACATCCAGCCCTATAATACATTTGTGATGTCACCAGGTTAATATCACCACATCTAGCCCTATAATACATTGTGATGTCACCAGGTTAATATCACCACATCTAGCCCTATAATACATTCTGATGTCACCAGGTTAATGTCACCACATCTGGCCCTATAATAAAATGTGATGTCACCAGGTTAATATCACCACATCTAGCCCTATAATACAATGTGTTGTCACCAGGTTAATATCACCACATCTAACCCAATAATACATTGTGATGTCACCAGCTTAATATCACTTCATCTAGCCCGATAATACATTGTGATGTCACCAGGTTAATATCACCACATCTAGCCCGATAATACATTGTGATGTCACAAGGTTAATATCACTTCATCTAGCCCGATAATACATTGTGATGTCACCAGGTTAATATCACTTCATCTAGCCCGATAATACATTGAAATGGAAATTGTCCAGCGCTACTTTGCTAGAAGAGTCCAGAACCTCCACAAAGAGATCTCCTACAGTTGCTACAGCTCAGGGTGGTAGGACTGTGGTCAATGCAAGGCAGAGCAGATAAATCAAAGCTCCTGTTTTGGGGCCGACTCTGTCGCTCAGCCAGTACCAGTGTTGTAGAAGCCTATCATGTATTTGAGATTCGCGGAATATATGTCTACTGTGGTAAAAGTACAAGATCGATTGCCCATGACCTCTTGAATGCAGCTCACAAATATGGATTTTCAGATATCATTGACACCTTCATGACAACAGGAGAATTTCCATGCAAAAATGTATGGAATTCCATGGTACAGAAGGCTATATGCCACCACGAACACACTGAATGGAGAAATAAACTCCAAGAGCGTCCAAATATGCAGAGATTTGGTGCCATTCATACGCGCCTCTCTCCTCATCGTCTCTGGAACCTGTGTTTGTGGTATAACATGGCCACTCCTCCTGTCTGATAAAGTTAGGTATACTGCCCGTCACACTTGGACTGTGTCTTATATGCGAGACTGAAAGTGAGGGACATTGTAAAACATCAACTCCTATACTGTGACAAGCTGGTAGAAAACAGGAACGCACTGAGCGAGCATCTGTTTGATAACGTGTCTCTTGACACGTATATGAGACTCGAAGATGCTGAAGACGAGGTTAAAATCCTCACATACCTTGGTTCCATTACTCCGGTTGTGCAGGACATGACTCTCGATAGCTGGGCTAGGTTCATGAGCATTATTGCAAAACGCATCAGTGCATGGAACCTAGCCAGCATTCTGTATTTATAAGAATAGCATGCAATGCTTTGTACATATTGCCCAGTGATCATCTGTTGCCAAGAGCTATGATTTTTTATGTTCTGTTGAATTTTTCAAATATTATTGAACTTTCTATTTTGTCACAAATGTGTGTTATGCTCTAAAAATATATACATAACTGGATGTATAACTCTCCAAACCATTGGTGGAAATAAAGAACATTCATTCATTCATTCATTCATTCATTCATTCATTCATTGTGCTGCCGCCATGTTTATATCACCACATCTAGCCCTGTAATACATTGTGATGTAACCAGGTTAATATCACCACATCTAGCCCTATAATACATTGTGATGTCACCATGTTAATATCACCACATCTAGCCCTATAATACATTGTGATGTCACCACGTTAATATCACCACATCTAGCCCTATAATACATTGTGATGTCACCAGGTTAATATCACCACATCTAGCCCTATCATACATTGTGATATCACCAGGTTAATATCACCACATGAATGAATGGTTATTTCAGATACAACTAACTGCAGTTATTGCAAGGAGGAAGGGGAGACAACTCAGCTACATCTTGGTGTTCTGTTTGTGACGACGCACTGTGTGAACGATGTACACGGATGCACCAACGAATCCCCTCTTCCCGTCACCATGACGTAGTTGACCTGTCTGGAGAGACAAGGGTCAAGGTCAAGAGAAAGGTCATGTGTAAAGTTCACAAGGACGAGAATATCAAATATCTTTGTAAAGATTGTAAAACAGCTGTTTGTCAAACATGCTGCACCATACATCACAGGAAGTGTGACATGGTTGTTGAAATTGACTCAGAGATTCCTGCAATGAAACCGAGCTGAAAAGGAATAAAGAGAATTTATTAAAGAAACGCGATGAGATGAAAACATATGTTGGAAAACAAAACTCCATTGTCAAAGAAGAATTGGCGCTTTATATACGGATAGAATCAAGTATCAAGTCTGCAAGTCTCACAGCAATACAGATGATCAAAGCCAAGGAACGGAAACTTCTGTCTGAACTGAAAGAGATGTCTGACAGACACATTGGACAACTGAAGGCAGGCATAAAGTCCGGTGAGGATGTCAGTACAGATGTACCAACAACAGACTGAGCTGATAGACCAAGCTCTACAATCTGAGTGTGACATGGATGTGTATGAGATGTATCAGGGATGTGAGGGCCGGTGATGTGGATGCTGTCGGAGTCGTAGAGGTGAAGGAGAAGGGAAGAATAGACAGGATTACATTCAGACAGAACACGGACAAGCTGAGTAGAGCACTGGAAGATCTCCATCTGGGTGAGATACACGTCCAGTATGACGATGTGCTGGACCTGAAGGCTGCTCCTGTGTTACAGGACACCATTAATGTGCTGGACCTGAAGGCTGCTCCTGTATTACAGGACACCATTAACTTGACAGTAGCAGGAGATGCTTGGGGAGGAGACCCCATTGACGTGACGGTGTTAGAGGTGAATGGTACAGACACAGTGGTAGTTACAGACCCCTTCAACAACAGTGTAAAGTCCTTCTACACCAGGAACAGTCAACCAGGTCACAGCAAGCTCAGTCTGGGAGATGGACCATGGGGTATAACAAGGCTGAAACACAACCAGGTGGCTGTCACTGTGCCGAATTCCAGTCAGATTGTAACAGTTGAAGTGAACCCTGACCTGGTGCTGCTGTCGACCATCACAACCAGCAAACAGTACTGGGGTATAACGTCTCTTACACCATCAACACTAGCAACATGTTCCAACTACCCTGTATGTGTTGATATCCTGGATATGTCGGGCCACGTGCTGAGGTCAGTTTGTCGAGGCCACAGAGGTGGAAAAATCTTAAAGTATCCCAGCTCCCTCTGTACCACGAGGACAGGAAACATCCTGGTGTCTGACGGTGGAACCAACTGTGTCGTGTGTCTGACCCCCGATGGTGATGTGGTGTTCAACTACAGACCTACAGGAGACACAGCACTGAAGTATCCACGTGGTATCACAAGTACCAGCACAGGCGACATCCTGGTGACAGACTACTCACAACACAGAGTCATCCATCTGACAGAGTCAGGACAGTTTGTTAGAAACATACTAACATCACAGGGTGGTGTCAAGAATCCAAGGGGACTGTGTGTTGGTGGTCGTGGTCGTATGTACTTGTGTACGGCATATGTAGTGAAGGTATTTACATACTGTAAGTGAGAGAACATGTCACAATCGCTTTCTGTATGTTAAATATAGATATATGTTACCTGGATAGATAGGATGTGATGCACTGTAGGAACATCTGACTTTTGATGTGAACGTGACGAACGATACCTGTTGTAGAAAGACCCAGCTTGTAATATAATGAGGGTTGATGGGGTAGCCTAGTGGTTAAAGCGTTCGGTCGTCTCGCCGAAGACCCGGGTTTGATTCCTTACATGGGTACAATGTGTGAAGTCCATTTCTGGTGTCCTCTGACTTGATATTGCTGGAATATTGCTAAAAGCGATATAAAACCATTCTCTCTCACCTACTGGAATGTAATGTAATGTAAGCAGCCATTACTTCTACTTTATATTCAGATATATTGTCTCAATAACTATGTGGTCCA